GTCGCCGATGCGGACTGGTGACTTTTTTTTAATTTTAGATTAAAATGAAGGAACAGGAGAAGAAAAAGTATGGGAAAGGTCAGTGTTGTACTGTCCTGCAGTAATAATTCAAACGAAAAAAGCGGCTCTTTTATTTAGTTATATAACTGTCGACGAGTTCTTATTTTAAGCGCTGCAGCCGATCAGTAATTATTCTCTTCTGTTAGCCTATTAAATACAGTTTGTGTTTAGCTGCATTGCTGTATTTGAAACGCACGATGATTTGAATCCTAAAAGAAATTGCCCAGAATATGAACACAATTATCGCGTATCAAAAAAGACGTGCTCTTGTTGTATTTACGGTATATAAGCCTTGGTACTATTTCAAAGTAATACATGCAGTGAGTAAACAATTTATTTATATAAGCAATAATGGTATTTATTAATCAAATGTCAGTATATTTTGAATCGGAAGGAGGACTGGGAAATGAGAAGAAAACAAAGAGTCAGTTGCAAAAAATTTAGCTGAAAACTTTGGTAATTTATTATTTGTTAGGGCAACCAAGTATGAAAAACAATGACAATCAAAGCCGTATTTGCTTGGGAAGACTAAAAAACTTGTTAGTTTTTTTTCACTTTTCCTCTTCAGGATTTCTGTTTACTTCTTTTTTCCTTCTAACTCTGATTTCGTCTTTTCACAACCGTTTTGACGGTTTTTTCTTGCGACATTAGAAGAAGACTTATGCGTACGCATCTTTTCCTTGTCGGAAATTAAAATCTGTGTTTTTTATTTGATTTATTCAACTTTTTCCTGACAATGTTCACTTCATTTCTTACAAGTATCCGGATAGAGGGGCCAAGAGCTGCTGTGAGTGTAATGGCGTGAAGCGATAAAAGATACAATACATCGCTGAAAGGCGGATTGGAGGAAGACGAAGGCAGTGAGACGGTGAAAAAGAGTAAAAAATACCAAAATTAGTTGAAAAGAATAAAATATAATTGGCAGTCAACTGACTCATTAAGGTTGGTAGAAATGGTTCTTTTTTCGCGGGTGCAAAATTACACAATAAAAATAGGTTTTCTTCTTTTTTGCCAAAATTGGCATAGTTTGCATATGCATGTGCAAAAGCTTTCGAATGAAAGCGGCACCTTTAAATCGTCCCTTTCTGTAATAGTCATTTTACTG